GACTATGAAATTTTCCGGACATTGCACGAGCGCCATCTGTGCATATTCCGACGCTATTCTTCCACTCTATTTTTGCTTCATTTATATAATCGTTTAAGATAGCAAATAATGCGAGCGACATTGCTTTCAGTTCTATTGATTTGCAAAAAAGTAGTTCTTCTACTAATGATATGCCATCACAAAATCGAACGTAGGCAATAAAATAAGCATCTTTATTGCTATCTGTTGCCTCATCAAGCTAAATCGAAAACAGCTTGTCGCGCAACTTCCCGAGTAACTGATCCTGTACATCTTCAGCAATATCACAAATTCGACGGGCAACAGTATTATTTGATAGAGGTATAGACTCCAATTTTTTGACAAAATTATCTTCAAACGTATTTTCTACAACTTGCATTGCAGCTGGCAAAATAAATTCTTCAGCAATAGTGTGAGGCTTTTTACATCTAGCTATTTGATGGGAGGTTTTATAAGAGGCAAGTAAAGCTTTTTCATTCACGGTCAATTTTTTTTTAAATGATTTTTGTTTTTCATGTGATTTTAATTATAACTCGAAGAATTCTCGGGGTTGATTAATGCACTCACTATGAAGCATTTCCATATGTCTTTTAAGTTTCTTTGCTTTCATGCTGTCGGCTGCTAAAATTTTTGAGCAAATGATACATAGAGGCCGTTTTTCTTCATTTACTTCAGTAAACGTAAACCCAAAATTTAAGTAATCTTGAGAATATTTTCTTGATTTTATTTTTGGAACCACTCTTGCCTATACACTTGTTGATGCTTCACTAGTATCGAATGCTTGCTTACGCCCAGTTAAAAATTGATCCATGATTTTGTATAAATTTAAGTATATCTACCTACTGCTTGGAATATTTTAATACCGTGAACTACAGAATCGGGAGGAGAGAGGAGAACTCGGAACTCGGAACACTTCTCGCGAAGAGAGACGATCGGTTCTGGATTGATGTTGCCACATATCAATAAATTTGCTTATTATCGGTAAGGTCATGTACCATCACCCCCCCCCTGAAAATTGGTCCTGGATTCATATATTTTTATTGTATGAGGAGGGGCGCGGTGAAAATAATTATATAAAAGTGGTAACTGGTAGGTTGCCAATTTGCCAAAAGGTTGAGAAAGGCTGACGTACTAATTATATAAATTCTGCGTCAATCGCATACCACATATTAAGAAAGATAAAATTAGATAAAATTTACGAATTTTGGCAAAAATGTATTTATTTAAATAGGCATTATAAATGTTACAAAATAAAACAGTTACAGTCTAACCCAGTATAAAAATTCAGTGAGAAGGATAGTTCTGCATAGCTACAACAAGTGAATCGATATCAGGATCAATTGTGCTTAGTTTAATTCGTAAATTTGGATCAAGATTAAGCCTACTGCGAAATTTATTTTTTGTTTATAGCATAGCAGAAAATCCAGTTTCACACAGGTAGGTGGTTGTAAAAGGAAGTAAAAATAACAATGTTTTTTTTTGATAAGGCTGGATATTCATTTTTAATATTTAGTCAGAATTCGGCTAATTTTAACTTTAAAAACTCTATTTGCAAACTACCATCACAAGACAGTTCTTTTAAATACTCCTTTTTAATCTGTTTTAATGTTTTAGGCATGCTATCCAAAATAAATGGTTGTTATATCCAATGAAACTGAACATAGTCTTTTTCAAAATATTTTTAAAACCATCAATTAGAATTTGACAATGCTGTTTTATGTTAAAAATAAGATCATCTTTTTTCTTTATTTTTTGCTCAACCACAATATTTTCTAAATTAGTAACCGACTAAAAGTTGTTGTTTGAAACACTATTTTTTAACATATAATATTTCTTGATAAAAGCATTTATTTTGTCGTTTACAGAAAATCAGTTATGTGATTTACCATGTAAGCTTAAGTTTAGGTCATTTAATCGATTAAATATGTCTGTTAAGTAAGCTAGTGTTGTGAGCGTTGTGTTGTGATCTATAACCGATCACGCAGTTCAAAATTGGTTTCAAATAAAAACTAAAATTGACTATCTGTACGACTTCATGTAAAACATGTTTAAATTCATCTGGCATTCGCTTTGCCACCAAAGCTTCTCGGTGGGTACTACAATGGGTAAGAGTACAATGTTCTGCAACCAGTTTTACTTTCACAGTTACAACTCCGTCTTTTTCCTACGGAATGCATAGAAACCAACGCATTATTTCCAGTCTAGTCCAAAAAAATCAATGATTCTCTTGAATATTTCATCGGCTCCGTTAACGCCTCACAAAATAAGTACTCTTCTTTGATTTTGGTTTGAAATGTACAGAGCATATAAACCATAAGCTGAGCATAGTTTGCTATATCTACGCTAATCAAGTTGAATTACAAAAAAATACTATTTTGTATCCTTTTTAGTAATTTAAAATTAAATGCCACCATTTCAATCCTACGACGTACGGTATCATTGGATAATCGTATAATACTAAGCTGTTTACCTGAATTCTCCCCAAAAATACACGTTACCATATCTAGTGTGGCAGGCACAATTAGTTTTTCACCGATGGTATGTGCTTTTTCACACTTCGCAATTCTTAAACTCACGAGGAAGCATGCTTCTACTGCTTTTTGGTTGCTGCTGGTGAAATTCGGCATTAATTGTTTTATGTCCCTCATCTTTGTTAACTTCCGAACGAAGTAATCCTTAGGATTATTTTGCAACAATGAATGTTTTGTATTGAAGTGGTGTTTTAATAGCGAAGGTTTCATACACGGGTTAGAAAGAATTTGCGAACAGATTACACATTGGGGCCTTGGCTCATCATTTTTATTTGTGAATATATATCACATATTAATGTATTCAGGATCATATTTCCTAACCAAAACTTTTAGTTTTTTTTAAGAACTCTTTTTCTCATCACCCTGTATAGGCTCTGATTCTGAAGTGGAGCTCGATGGTCTGGGATTTTCAGATGTTCTCAGTCTCGAATCAGTAACAGCAAATTACTCGTTTCGACAAAACTAACCAGAACGACTGGGTCGGCCACGAGGAAACTGATGACGTGAATGGACGTGAATCAAGAGCGGTGACAATTTGGCGTGATTTTAGTGTTGCCAACAATGAATAAGACATTACGCGCTTGTGACACCGACCAAAGACACACACACACACACACACACACACACACACACACACACACACACACACACACACACATCGGTTTTAACAGAAGCGTTAAACGCATCGGTTTCCAAGTCGATGCATCATGTATTGAATTATAATGGTGTAAAACATACACAGCGGTTCTGACCGCCGCGTTTCCCAAAACGGTTTTAAAACAACGTAGGTTGGTGGTAGATGTCTGGAATCGCATCTGTTTTAAAAACGAGAGGCGTTGGGTGTTCATTGTGTTTTGATAGCTCTGTACACACACGCGCGTTTTTGTCTCGATTTTTGAATTTTAGAAATGTCTGGAAAAAAATTTGATGTAGAAAATCTTATTACCGTAGTAGAAAACCGACCAACACTTTGGAATATGGGGAAGAGTGAATATAGTGATAGAGTGCTAAGAATTTATTTGCTTACCGAAAAGTTATTACCAATTTTTCCTCTGGTGTTATTGATTTTCTCATACATATATCTCTCTCTGTTTTTTTTTTCTTGACAAATTGTGAGCAACTTATCAAAAGTATCTCGCAACATCCTAGTAAAGTTAAAAAATGTTTCATCGTCTCGTTGCACATCGTTTTTGCACAGCAAACAACGTATGAAAATGCCCTTTTTGTTCCCCTTTTTTGATAATCGGATGTATCCATATTCTACGTTTTTGTTGTTTTTTTCTTGTAAAATTTTCAACACATGTACAATACTGACAAATACAATACGTCGTGTCAAAAACCCTATCAAACTCTACACAAATCGTGTTTAAAATCACTACCGACTCTTTAAACGCTTCGGTTAGAAACGCTGTGTCTGTCTTTACACGAAGCCACCGACGCGTTAAACGCTTGGGTCAAAACAGCTGTGTGTGTCTTTACCCTAACTGTGGTTTCAAACTCACAGCGTTGCCATGTACGACGTAAAAGATAACATTTGTTAGTAAATTTTATTAAAATTCTTCGTTTCTTCTAGTTTATAGAGTACTACCTTTTAGTGCTTTGCGTACCACCAGTGGTACACGTACCACAGGTTGAGTACGGCTGATTTAAACTATAATTTTTAGATGTAAAAACAATCGGATTTGTTAATAATTATTAGTTCTTAGTATAAGTTTAAAAATATTAACACTACCTTGAAATTATTCCAGTTGATACGCTAACTTCGGAAATCGCTCTCAAAATACAATTATGAATTAATTAAAGATTAATAATACCATTAACATATTTGTATTTTGAGAAAGATTTCCGAAGTGGAAATTGAAACGCCAATAAAGTTATTTTAAAGTTTAATTGAGACTTATTTTCATAATTAATATTATGAAATATTAATTAATTTATTTTATTTTATTCGACTTTATTTTATTTTAAATTATTTTATTTTATTTTATAGCTTACAGCCAAGGCTTTATATCAATCTATCAATACAGAAATTTATTTTGTTATTTGTCTTGATATCTTCTCTTCATGGATAGATAGATAGAAATTCTCAGGATAATAATTTAAGTGGGAGTAAAGAAAATATACTTTTACACCACAACATCCTTAAATGCTAACCATCCTTCTCTCTGAAGATCTGTCATGGTATTGACAAACTTTTAGTCCACTAAAACTATTAAGATATTGTACCCACTAAATGTACATCAATCTAGTTTCCGAGAGACCTGGAAACTAATCCTAATAACTATCAGTTATAAACTAATCCAAATATTATGAAATTCGTTAAAGTGCATACACTAAAATGAACTGGACACATTGCTAGGATGTCAGATCACGAACACACAAAGAGATTAAGATTTTCAAAACTAGAGGGTACAAAAAGTAGAGGATGACCACGATGGCGACATAAAAACGTCACTGATTGTCTGCAATAATTTTGAACAGAAATAATATCTAAAAAAAATTAAAAACTTCTTATTAAAATTCAAGATACATATACCCACTTACCACACTGCTCAAATAGTTATTTAAAAAATTACCTAGAATAATATAAACAACAAAAAAAAGTAAATGAAATTATCCACTTGTGCCGTAAAATAAAGATCGGATATTTTTTGTCAATTTTCAATTGAATGTGAGTAGGTAGCTGGTGGAAATAACAACAAAAATTCGAAAGAAAATAAAAATAAAAAATATCTAAGGAAAGTATTTTCCGAATCTGTATCACTGTTTGCTCAAATTTAAGGAAGTTTATTAAATAAATACACTTACGACGATATCGTAGCTCTCGATTCTCGCTATTATACCCTTCAGTCTTTCTTTGTCTTGTCGGTGCTTCAAACTGGAATTGACGTTATTTACGAAATCGTCCACCATTTTGATCTGAAAATAATTAATATCATTGGGTTTTATTTGTGACTATGAGAGGGAATGTTTATGATGCAAAAATTGTTAATATGGGGTAAACATTTGAAATATCTAGTTTTTGTAGAAAAAAAAAATTACAAAAATTGAATTAGGTTATTTAAGCACCTACAAACTGATAAAGTTTTGACATCTCAGTATATTTTTGAGCTTATAGGGGGAATCCCCGATAAAAAGTGGAGTCTGTATAAGATATGCCTACTTACCATAGTCTGCAAATTTTCTCGCTCTACATCTTCGTCTGTGTTCTTAAGAATAGCTTTAAGAAGTAAGCCATACTTGGTAAGTCGTTGCATCGGTTGTACTAAAATATCCATAAGCCTTAACCTAAAACAAAGAGATTTTGCTATACTACAACTAATTATATCTTTATGTATATATATATATATATATATATATATATATATATATATATATATATATATATATATATATATATATATTTGGAAAATTTAAGACGGAACATAGGGATTTTGAATACAATTACTAAGATCCCCTGTCCTGCAATTACCCAGTGCAAATTTCAATATAACGTCGCGATGTCTTATAATTAATTCATTTGTTCGACTGGACTCCTTCTCCAATTGATATTTTTCGACTGCTGGGCACGTGCGCACCTTACCAAACACAAACACAACTTTTATTTCAGCTTATGGCGTTATATTGAGAAGCAAAGGGCGTATGTATTTGTTTTGGTCGGCCAGTGATGTTCGTTGGGACTGTTGCCAAATCGGTAAATACCTTCGGCAAAAATCTGTAGATTTTGATGTATCAAATACATCCTTTTAAATTTTAAATTATTAACAATATTTGAAATAATACATATATTAAACTATACAATAACCAATTCAAATAATATCTAATGAACACAAAAAAATTGTTATTAATAAAACATTGTTATTATCTGCACAAAAACACAGAAAATCAGTGGACGATAGGCAACAGTGTCGACGTAGACCTGCCGAATACGCTACTAGAAATCGCGAAGGAGCAGCAATCCAGTCGAGCAAATTAATTAATTATTAGACATCGCGACGTTATATTCAAATTTACACTGGGTACTTGCAAGTCAGGGGATCTTAGCAATTTTAGTACAAATCCCTATGTTCCATCTTAAATTTTCCAAATGTGTATATATATATATATATATATATATATATATATATACATATCATCATCATCAGCATCATTAGCCATTTTGCGTCCACTGCTGAACATAGGCCTCCCGTAAATAATTCCATTGCATCCGATCTTGAGCAACTTGAATCCAGTTAGACTGGATGCGCTTTAAATCGTCCGACCACCTTGTTGGAGGACGTCCTCGACTACGATAAGCATCGTGTCTAGGCCTCCACTCTAAAATTTTCTTTGTGCATCTTCCATCTCTGACCCTAGCAACATGTCCTGCCCAGTTCCATTTCAGGGTTGTAATTCTTTCAACTGCGTCCGTCACACCAGTTTTTCTCCTTACTATCTGACTCGAAACTCTGTCCCTGAGTGATACGCCCAACATTGACCTCTCCATCGCTCTCTGTGCCACTTGTATCTTATTAATTACTTTTCTGGTAAGTGTCAATGTTTCTGCTCCATATGTCAGAACTGGAAGTACACACTGATCAAAAACTTTTCACTTCAAGCACATGGGAATAGCTGATTTAAAGACTTCCCTCAGTTTTCCGTAAGCTGCCCATGCCAGTCCTATTCTCCCATTTAACTCTGTTGTTTGATTGTCTCTTCCCAATTTAATCTCGTGGCCCAGATACTTATAGGAATACACTTGTTCAATTTGCGTGCCATTAGTGGAAATGTTTTTTGCCAGTACCAGGTTGGTCATGTATTGTGTTTTGGAAAAATTAATTTTAAGGCCAACTCGTGCACAAGAGCTCTGAAGGTCTTGAAAAAGTTGGCATGCATGATCTACCTGATCTGCAATAAGGACTATGTCGTCTGCAAACCTCAAGTTGTTCAAAAATTCTCCATTTATATTTAATCCAATATTTTCCCAATTATTTTTTCTCATAGCACTCTGTAATAGGGCGGTGAATAGTTTAGGAGAGATAGTGTCTCCTTGCCTAATACCTTTCTCCAAGGGAAATTTGTCTGTGTCACCATAGTACATTTTTACAGCAGCTGTTGCGCTATCATATATATTTCGAAGAAGAGTTGTGTACCTATGGTCAATACTGTAAGAGTTGTGTACCTATGGTCAATACTGTAGTCAATACTACTCTGTAAGAGCTCTTAACATGGAGCTATGCTGGACTGAGTCAAATGCTTTCTCAAAGTCTACAAATATTAATATCAATGGCTTGTTGTATTCTATAACTTTCTCTATCAAGGATTTTATTACTTGTAGGTGGTCATTTGTTCCAAAGCCACTCCTAAATCCGGCCTGCTCTAGAGGTTGATGAAAATCTAGCTTAGGTCCCAGTCTGTTAGTAATTATTCTCATAAAGAGTTTATATAAATGAGATAATAAGTTGATAGGTCTGTAGTTGCCAATTTCTGTCACATCTCCTTTTTTATGCAATATTATCATAATGGCATTATTCCATTTTTCTGGCGTATTTCCTTCAAAGAGGCAGGCATTATAAAGGGTTTTTAAAGCCTTTATGACGCATTCGCCTCCTAGTTTTATCATTTCACTTACAATGCCATCTTCTCCAGGTGTTTTGTTGTTCTTCATACCTTTTAATGCTGACTTAATTTCCTCTTCGGTTATATCTGGAAGTTCCTCTGACCCTTGATTTAGTATTGCTGGAATTTCTACTTCGGGAATGTGATCATCCCGACTATATAATGTTCTATAGTACTCTTCGATGATTTTTAGTATCTCTTGTTGTTCATGTATGACATGTCCTTGATTATTTTTTAACTTATAAATATTCCTCGTTCCTATTTTCAACTTTCGTTTTAAAACTTTTAGGCTTTTGTTTTGTTCTACGGTATCAGTTATTTCCTTAGTGTTAAAGTTCCTTATGTCTTTCCTAATGGCTTTTGAAATGGTTTTGTTTAAATTCCTTAGCTCTGCAATGTTCGTTGTATGCTTTTCTTTCATTTCCCTTCTTTTTTGCATTAGGTTTCTTGTGTCTTCTGTGAGTTTTTCATTTTTTGTTAAGTGCTTGGCTTGGCACTTCTTCTGTGACTTCTTCAGGGCTTCTACCAATTTTTCATTAAGCTGTTCAATACTGATTTCATCTTGCAGGTCTTTCTGTAGATTACTCTCTATTTCTTCCTGGTTACATATATATATATATATATATATATATATATATATATATATATATATATATATATATATTCTTTTGAAGATTTTGAGTTCCTTTGGAGTCCCTTGGATTTTATTGGATAGTTCTATAAGGGAAGGTCAATCAATCCCTGCCCTCTGCAGATTCCGGGAGCTTCTTGACCCGGGAAGCTAGCACCTGTTAAAGATCCCTTGTCCAAGGTCAAGGATTAAGTCCAGAACGGCATCCAACGTGTCGAAGAATATTTTCAGTACGGCGAATGGCGGAGTTGGCAACTCCTGGTTTTAGAAATAATATAAGATCACAAGAATTAAAAACTCACCAACCCGCCTTGCCAGCGTGGTGTTTTAAGGCAAATACGTCCCAACAAAATGTTAGATTTTAAAATAAAAACGGATGTACCCCTGCTGAGTATAGCGAGACACTGAAAGTCTCACACTGATTTATCAGTGTGTACCAAGGATTCTTTGGAGGACAAAAAACTTACTACGCGAAAGACGAAAAAACCTGTAACACTTTTTATCTGTACCTACAATGCCAGAACATTATTTTCTGAAGAAAAAGTCACCAAAATGGAAATTAAGATGTCAAAAGTAAAATGGGACATCATTGGAGTCAGTGAAGTAAGGGGACGTGGAGAAAACCTGACAACACCAAAATCAGTGCATATATTTTACAGTATAGGGAGTGAAACCAAATCAATCGGCAGAGTCGATTAAGATAAAGGGTAGCCTATTTAATCGTAAAGCTAAACCGAAGGTATAAATTAAAGATTATTCAAGTATATGCTTCAACAACAACGGGCCATCCGGATGAGCAGATTGAAGAATTCTACGATGATATCTCAACTCCACTGAAAGAAACACCAACACACTACAGAATTATAATCAGCGACTTTAACGCAAAGATCAGTCTAAAGCAGGATGAACAGGAAACAGCACTAGGTAATTTTGGATCGAAAGGCAGAAACCAGTGAGGACAAACACTACCAGAATTTCTATTACTAAAAAATCTATACCAGATGAATGGTTTCTTCTATAAAAAGATCCCAGAAGATGGACGTGGTAAAGCCCAGATGGCAAGATCAGAAACAGGATAGACTACATAATCAGTGACAAAAAACGTATATTCAACGATGTCACAGTCAATAGCTTTACTACAGGCAGCGATCATGAAATGGTAAGAGCTAAACTAAAATTAGACTCAATAGAAAGGTCCAAAATGATTAGGAAGAAAGCAAACCGGATATGGAACGACCCAACGAATTTAAATAAATACCAAGATATTATCAATAAAATTCTACAACAAAATGAATGCATAAATAATGTAAATACCCTAAACGGAAATATCGTAAAAGCCATTCGAGAGGCTCAAGTAAAATGCTGCCCTAAAAGACGCCAAGCTTAGATTAAAGAAACGATTTGAGAGATTTCTTCCGGTCTCATCAACATACTCAGCTTCATACTAAGTACAACTAATGCTGTATGCTACATTTGTTTTATCTAATTTGTCTATAGGATACTTAGTTTTGGAATATAAAGATGAAATGGTTTTGATGTTTTTGTTGCTATTTTTATATTGTCAATAACCTTTAGTGTTTGTATTAATTTAGGTGTTAATGATGGTATAAAAGGTAGTGAATGTTAATAGATGTTCTGATTGTTGGATAAAATGTTCTAGAAGACTACATAAAATCAAGTGAACCTATGGTTGAACTCGTATTGAATAGCTGAATTCATGTGAAATTCACACTGAATGCGTGAAAACCATACTCAAAGACCACAAAAATTAAACGTATGGTCAGTTATAGTATGTACTTATTTAATTGGGCCATTTTTTATCGAAAGAAATTTAACATCAGATAGTTGGTGTAAATGTTCGGCGTTATTTAGATGAGATATTTCCCGGACAATAAATTGGTAGACAAGGTAGAATTGAATATCCTCCGCATTCACCCGATTTCAATCCCAAAGATTATTTTTATTAGGGACACTTAAAAAATTCAGTTTACAAAACTTAACTAGCAAGTATTGCAGATCTAAGGCAACGAATTATCAATAAATCTCGAATAATTTCTAGACAATCATGGAGAAATGTGGTAGACGCCTTCTACCATCGATTAGGATGCTGTCAACTCACAAATTGAGCATATTTTGAACACTTAATAACGTAACTACTATGTTAAAACATGTTCTAAACTATCATCTGTTACGTTTTAATGTATTTGAAAATAGTTAGTATTAAAAAATTTATTGAAACAATTTAGGCGTTGCCAGACTTCGGTTTTATGTATTTATGACCTTCCAGATTACATAAAATCATAAGTGTTACATATGGTTGAACTGGTATTGAATAGGAGATTCCAATAATGACTGAATATACAGGGTGATGTATTCGAAAAACCAAAGTTACTAATAATTTAAGAAAAACGGCAAATCTGGCAACATTGTAAATATCAAATATGGAATTTCCGTATCCCAAAATAGGTGTAATTTATATTTTGTACAATTATAATCAGCATTTTACGAGATAATTAGCCGTTTCCAGACTTTTGGGCCACTCTGTATATAAGAAAAAATATATAAGAACAAATAAAGAAGCAGTATAAAAAATCGTTTTCAAACACCAAATAGCCTTGCCAAATCTAATACATTGCCTGCCATATACGATAAAAATATTAATTTTTTAAAAGAATTGACGTTATAAACCCTCTGGATGAAATAAAATACTATTTTTCAATTTTATTTCATTAAAAATATGCCTTCTTTACCACTGCTATATATCACAGCGACACATTTTAAAGTCTTTTTGTAAATAATGAGCAAAAACTGAAATAGCTATAAAAGTTTGACGTGAGTGGTAATAGACTACTTTTGCTTTTAAAAACTTTTCTGATCGCCGGATTGACAAAGCGTGAACAGTTACCGCAACAGAACATTTGAATGTGAAATATCTTTTTAAATTTTTTACATCGCGTCAAGAGGCATTTAATAAAAAGACTAAAATTTAAAACTATCTTCAGTCGAATTTACGAGAATGAATTCTTAGTCTACTACAGAACGAAAACAGTTTTAAATTCGAACTATTTTTAGTCCATATTGTGAGATCTATACGTAGGAAAAATGTTTCTGATACGGTTTCTTTGCGGATTCTTGTAAAAAGTGACCGATTTAGGTCGATATACAAGCCCCTTCCCACATAAGTTGGCCCAACCTTGGGTTGGTAAGAAAATTAAATTTTGGAGAACAAAAATAAAAACGCTACCAAATTTTCGAAGTTTTAATGAATCGAACAACATTTTTGAATTTCCCAATTATAGAAAATATTTTATATTGTAATGAAATCTATTATGATTAAACAGAATAATAAGAAGTTTTAAAAAACACATCGAATATGTAATATTATCAACACAAAAATGTAAAAGTTTACCACTAGTTACATCCCCTTTATTACTAATGACATCCACAATTCTTCGAGGTATAGTTTTCACCAAGTTCTGATAAAATTCTAAAATAAACGAATCCTATATTTCTTGCAATTTTTCCTTCAATTTGTTGACGGACCTGGCAGGATGTCTTCTCAGAGCTTTTTTCATTTCGCGCCACAAAGTCTCCATCGGGGACAAATTGTGACTGTTAGAAATCCATTCCAGAAGTGTTATGCTGTGGTCTTTTAGAAGAAGAGATTCTTCTAAAATATTCAAATATTTGTCCGTGTTTACAATCCCATCGATAAAATGTAACTTTCACACACCTTTAGACGGCATGCTGTCCCAGATCATGACAGATGCAGGAAATTTGACTTTTCTCTTCAGGTAGTTGGGATGGAAAACTTCATTTTATCTGCGAATGACGCGACTTCTACTGTCTCCAACACACACTTCAAATCTGGACTCATTACTCTATTTTATTGAATCCCATTGTCTATTTTTCTTTTTGTTGTAATGTTAAAAGTGGCTTTTCCTTAGCCTAAAATAAAATTAAATTTAAAAGGAAAAGACAGTTAAGACTTGATTTCACGTATAGTGCGTCTGTGTATTCGCTTATACGTATTTCGCCCTAAAAGAGTTCTTCAGAACGACTATTCACAGTCGCTCTAAACGTAAAAATAAATCTCTCCTATCTTAGGAAGCAACTCTAACATGGCTTCATATGGACAAAAATAGCGACTAATCGAAAACTAATTTTCGAAATCAATTCATTAAAATTAAATTTATTAAATACCATTCGTACTAATTTTTTCGACTATAAACCTTACTTTGTAAGTCCCAAATCTTAATTTGTGGGCCTCTCGGTAACAAGTTTATCTAGAAACGTATTTTTCATAAAGTTACTCCATAAAACAGGTAACTCCGTATAATTTACTAGTCGATTTTGCACTATAATGCGTCCTAATGCCATTCAATCTGCTTAAGTCATTTTACTTTTTCGTACATTTCTAGGTTTTGTGACGATCGAACCTGTAGTTTTGTATCTTCTGACTATATTTCTTACACTATAGCGTGACAATTGGAACATATTTGCGATTTCCGAATTGAGTTTTCTAGAAAATCTAATAATAATTTAACACATTTTCTCATCGATATCCTTACCTCGACCCATTGTACTAAAGCATTTACCAATCCTTTGATATAAAAATTCTTTTAATTATATTGAAATCCCCTTGTATATGTATTAATTTGAAATCCCCTCATATATGTATTAAAGAAACGAAGAATGATTTTAGTGTATTTTATTTCCTAATCGTACGAGTTAAAATACCGAATTCTTTCAATTCATCTTAGCGTCGCCGAGTAAAATAAACCATTTTAGAGTTGTTTATTGTTTTACAGATGTGTATTTTCTCGGCATTTCCTTTTAATGTTTTAGTCGGAGTTGCCTTTTAATTTCTGTGCGTCGTAGAAAAAGAATCTTCTAAGTTTTAATTCATGTTAAGTGTTTGTTATTCCAAGTTATGTGAATTAATTTTAAAGATAATTTCGTCACTCTCGTTAGAGCCGCGATCAAGAGCGGTTCAGCGTTATGTCCAAAATCATGTCGAATTTGTGAAGTTTTCTGTTTTTGTCCCTTTTCATAAAATATGAGTAGCAGTTAAATTTTGGTTATCATCCAAGGCTTTTGGCAGTATGGAAATTGATTTGTTCGTGTGTTCGTTGCACAGGGAGTGAAGCCCAAGTCTACCTTTAGTTTTATGGTTCTAGAAATTCCAATGACGTCCAGTTACAGAAAATTTAACGTTTTTTAGTGAAAAATCCAGCTAACTTTTGTTTCAAATTTTAGAGTAAAGCCAGACAATTTTTTTTATCAAATAATAATTGCTTTCGTTAAGTTTTAAAAATTTTAACATTTAAAAATTGTAAATTTTAGATTTTGAGTTTAGCTGTCAATTTAATTGTTCATAGATTTAAACTTTATTGTTAACATAAGACAGCTCGCTTTATTATTTTCGATATTTATTTATTTTGTTTATTTTAATGTCTTGTTTTGTCTGTATTTCTTGTATTCCCTATGTTTTGTAACTGTTTGTGGTAAAACACAATAAATGTATTTTTTTAAATAACCTTTGTTTTTATTGTCGTTTGAAAAAGATATATTTTGCATTTCTAATAAGTATTTTCCTAGTTACAACTAGCTATTGTAATGGTTATAATTAATCATCTCGAAGAAGATGTGTTTCCTGTTTCCTTTCTGTGATTTGTTTTGTTTGTCCCAAGAGACTCATGACCCTTTGTTTCATATTTTTGTAGTTACCCCAATCCAACCCCTTTGCCATTTACTTATCCCCGACCCCAGCTCTCCTAACAGACCCTGAGTGCCGTTCGCACCAGTTTCGATTATTTTGCTTTTGCTTGGCCTATCTCCACCCCCAGTAGTTTCTATCCCCAATTTTCTACCCCATAAATTAATACCCCATGTGGTAGACAAAATATACTTTCGTTGCAGTACAATCCATAAACAGCAAAAATCTATGCAATACTACAAAATACATTTGACATTAACTGACAATTATTGTTTTGATGTCATTTTTTTATAGCTACCTCTGGATTTAACCTAATTATGAAAAAATCAACGTACATTGACATAAGTGAATGCTTACCCAGGGTTTAATGTATATTTTATTGTTTAAAACAAATAAAAAAACATAAGAATAATGTTTTTATTAAATTTTATTAAAAATGTTATATTAATTAATATGAAAACTTATAAAAACATGCAGAGTATAATTTGTTTATGGCAATCGCCTTAAACTGCAAAATCCATAGGTGGGCCAACTGATATGAAAATGGGCTCGTACATAACCGTGCCGTGTCCGTTCCGTGTTACGACAGTGCCCGGCAAAAAAACAATAATGTACTCTTGTGAGTATATATATATATGTGTTTCCGAACGAGCCGTCCGTGCCCGGCCTGAAATTAATCCCAAAAACATAATGCAGAAGCATTCTCTTGTCAAAACAAAACCTGTGGACAACTTTCCACGTCTTCTTTCTAAAAAGTTTCATGGTATAATTGTTAAAAACATGGAATAGTAATCGTTATCGTTAGTCTATAGGCTATATCTTCAATGGAAATCACCACTCAACAGTTCAGTTTTTGAAATTTTGCATTTTCGATCGACAATTTTTTTAAATTTTATTGCGCAACTCTGCTTTAAATTTTTAAAGCAAAACTTTCCACTGACACCTTTAATTAGGTCTAGATTCTTTAAATAATAATGCATCTTGGTACACATAATTAAAAGTCTTGATGTTTGTGTCTAATATTATTTTTTTAAATAATAATAAAAACTAAAACATACCTATTACATTCCTTTTGGCTCTCACACCACGTCAGATACGCAGTAAATACTTCGCTGTCCATATTTTCTCTACAGTGGTGCTGGCACCTGGCCTGCTCGGCGCAGTACTTGTAGTACGGTTGGAAGACGTCTTGAATGCTGTGGAATCCTTCGAGCATGTTTTCGATGCAGGAGGTGCGTCTGTTTTTCCTCATATCGCGGACTAAGGGAAAAAGAGTGTTGCGCCAGAAGACGACGTTGCAGTCCAGAATTTCTGTGATGTTTGAGAAGAGTTTGTCGGTGTCAATCTCTTTAAGGAGGTTTCTGGATTGGAGGTCTTTAAGGCAAGCGAGGAATAACTGAAAAATGTACAAAAAAAAATTGTTACAAGTTATGTCAAAAAAATCTAGTCTAAGTCATTCTTATATTGGGTATATGTTAAAAAACTCACCAGGAGTAAAGTAGTACCACCAATTGATGCAATCATAAGACACCCTAGTTTAAAGTACTAAGTTTCAAGCTTTTGAAAGGAGTAAGAAATAAAGACCAAAGCAAAATTAGTCGAAGAAACTTATATAAAGCATGTCAGTAAAGAAAATTGATATCGGTACGCAAAAAGATAAAAACGTAGGGATGCTGATCCCGTATAATGAAGATAATGATAATAATGCTACGTCTCCAAAAAAAATTGTATAAAAAATGAACAAATTTTGTACTTCTTTCTGATATTAGAGAGATCTCCACTAAACTAAACACCAAGTTCAATAATTTAAGATTAGTTACATTCAATAGATTTTTTAAAATATTATATGAATTGTCTCGGGTAAAAACCACGAATGTCACAAATTAACTAAAATTGAGTTAAGTAAGCCATCTAGTAAGTTTTGTTAATAGCTATGTTTGGTCACTAGGGACTGGACTAGTGTTGTTTAGAGTTCCTTTGAAACTAAAGACAGCAGTTCAATTCTTGATGATTCTCAGAAAAATATACTCTCAATGATGGGTACCCCACATATCAACCAAGTGAAAAGGGGTCACTCTCTCTAGGAAGTCTATATGAATTACAAACAGCTGACCTTGATAGCCTAAATGATAAGAAAGAAAATACTGAAATTGGTACACAGACGAACAATTTAATGTCAACTTAAGTTGGATATTAAATATACTTCTTGACAAAGTATGGAAAGACGTACGTCCACTAAAACGTTGGAGAGAAGCTAAGTCCAAAGATTAGGTTAACAAATGTTGCAAAAAGGAGGTGTGCTAAGAGTTTGCTTTATGAGATAAAAAAAGAATAGACCAGCAAAATTGCCACAATCACTTAATTGTTCAGAGTGCTTTTACAAATGTGATAGTTATTTCAGCGAAGATTACATGACAAAGACTATGTCGTATTTTACTGTAAAATTCATTTTTTTCAATAAAATATTTTGTGACATTCATGGTTTTCTCCCGAGACCCTTCATATGAATTAAATTGTGTGTTAAAAATGTACGTTAAAAATAAAAAAAAATAATACCGTTAGAATGTTAATCTACGGAGATGAAAACGAAACGTTTAAATTGTTTTCATTTTATTATGACAATGTAAATACTCACATCCGTAACCACCTTCAGAGTTTTAATGTAAGCAACTTCAGTTTTAATTAACTCCCACAAGGCCGTTTGTTGTTGTTGTTGTTTCTCGTTGAGGTCTGAAACAAAACAAAAGTATGACAGAGCAGTTTTTTCTCTCCCTTAAGAGATGATTATTTTAAATGACAACTTTCCTTGGAAAGCTTTGTATTTAATGAGTTTTATCACTTAATTGCTATACAGAATTTTAAAGGATTGTATTCTAAAAATTAGGTTTTTTTGATATAAGGAATGTCTTTAAATAAAATATAAAATAGATTAAGTTTCATTGAAATAGAATAACAATAAATTAAGTTACATTGATTCAATAAATTTCAATACAGATGATATCAAAAAAAAAATAAAAAACTAGCGGATGATTACAAAATTGAAATATAGATAGATAATACAATTACAACAGGTAATATAATTTACAGATTTTAAGGAACTCTTATCACATTAGACATATTGTTTTTATATTTTAAAATATCACATAAACTTCCGTGGATACCATGTTTGATCCGTGCTGCTGCGTACTGGTTACATTCCACAAGTATATGGTGTACACTTAAACGGGAGTTGCAATATTGGCAGTTTGGAGGTTCTTCAGGAACCATCAGATATCCATGGGTTAGCCGGGTGTGCCCAATTCTGAGCCTTCTAATAATGGTCTTCGATTTTCTTTCCATTGTAACAATTTTAGGTCCTAATATGTTTGGTTGGATAGACTTTAGTTGGGTAGTGCACCTGTTCCATTGATTTTGCCACATTGACGTAGATAACTTTTTAATTTTAATTATTATGTCTTGAAACATTTGGACTTTTTCATCTGTAAGGTCAGAGCGACGTGCTTCATTTGCTGCGTGGTCGACATTCTCATTTCTAGTTTTCACGAGTTTCTAGTTTACACGATTCATTCCACCACGAAACATATTTTTGGAGAAATCAAACTGGTATTTACCAATGCATTTTTTAGCGGATGTTATAATACAATTAATCATCATGTTAAGATCTTCATCAGCAGAATTCATAAAGGAGAATTTATTTAACAAAATGACGGTATAATATTTTGATTTGATACAGAGCAGCAACAAGCCGCATATACGTATTTCGATCTCTTTAGATCTCCTCAGTACGGTATAGTTACTACTCCATATCAAACCAAAATATTTTCCCGTTGTAGATTAAAGTTATTAAACATAACTATTTACGGACGTAACTACGCCATCTAAGAACAAAAAGAGAAATCATACGATTTCTACCTGGCGAAATCGATTTCAAATATAAGCCGCCGTGTCCCCTAAGACTTGCGAAGCAAACAGCTTGATGAATGCATCGGCAAGGGAGTCTAAAAATTGCACTCCAAATGCCGTTCATCATGGCCTATATTCGTAGTGAATTCGATTTCTGGTACTCCAAATGAAGTAAATAAACAAAACAAAATGACGGTATTATATTTTGATTTGATACAGAGCAGCAACAAGCCGCATATACGTATTTCGATCTCTTTAGATCTCCTCAGTACGGTATAGTTACTACTCCATATCAAACCAAAATATTTTCCCGTCGTAGATTATAGTTATTAAAAATAACTATTTACGGACGTAACTACGCCATCTAAGAACAAAAAGAGAAATCATACGATTTCTACCTGGCGAAATCGAATTCAAATATAAGCCGCCGTGTCCCCTAAGACTTTCGAAGCAAACAGCTTGATGAATGCATCGGCAAGGGAGTCTAAAAATTGCACTCCAAATGCCCTTCATCATGGCCTATATTCGTAGTGAATTCGATTTCTGGTACTCCAAATGAATAGTAAATAAACAAAACAAAATGACGGTATTATATTTTGATTTGATGTAAGTGCGTGGTCAAAGTAGTCCACTCACCTATTTGATACATTTTTCCTTGTTGTTAATAGGTCGTCATTCTGACTTCTGCATTGTCTTGTGGTTGCCTTTAATTTTTTTCTGTTGGTGTTAACTTTCTCATAGAATGCTCTGAATTATTTCTCTCTTTTAAGGTTTTCTATACATTTAAGTTTTTGATTTAGGTGGTTTCGTTTTTTTCTCTTGTGTATCCTCTTTTCTTCTCTTCTCTTTGTCTGTTAATTCTCTACAGTTGTCCTAGTTCGTCGGCTAAACCTTTTTGTAGGCTTCGTTTTTTTCTTTTATTACATTCTTGCATTCATCGTCAAACCAATGATTTTTACGGAAACAAATTTCTGTTTCTATTTCATCTTTTGCTGCTGCTTCAGTGTCTTCCTTTATTATGGTCCAGTAGGAATCTATTTAATACAAAAAATCTAATACAAACAGTAAATTTACTGTTTGTATTTTGAGAACGATTTCCGAAGTAGAAATTGAAACGTCAATAAACGTATCTTTAATTGTGGCTTATAGTTAAATAGTAATTCATTTAAAATGCCACAAGAAAATAGCTTCAGAACAATATGAATCTTTCAATATTTATATATATATATATATATATATATATATATATATATATATATATAAATATATATATATATATATATAAAATATATATATATATATATATATATATATATATATATATATATATATATATATATATATATATATATTATTGTGATATTTCAAGTCTTGGTGCGCCAAGCAATTAATTAGCTAATTAATTATTTATTAATTAAAATTATTTAAATGATATGATTATGACTCTATCACACTTTTTAATTCTCTTATCTCAGGGTTAAATTCGTGCTTCAATATCTATGCTATTACATGTGAAAGGTAAGGTCCAAAGAATACCGGAATAATAAAAAACACATATGATATAACACTATATATTGAAATAAAATTAATGAAATAATTCACACTCAAATTAATGAAATAATTCTCAAAATTTTGTTCTACGTACGTGAACCTTCAAAATTAATGGTACAAACAATATTAATTGAAATCTCAAAATCCCAAATTATTCTAACTCTCCTAATCAAAATATTTATATCCTTTCTAAATTAAGTGTAAAAATTGTGTTGTCGATAACAGAAAAACTGCAGAAAACAAAAATATCTCTCTCTGATGATGAGTGGTCCAAATCCTTGTTCCTTGTAGACTATATTATCTACTCTCAGCCGCTCCCTAGGTAATCAGCAATCTTACAACAAACTGTTGCAAGTATATCGTCCTTAATGATCTCCTTCAAAAGCACGAATAATTCAAATTATGATAGCCTTTCTCCTCTCAATAAACTGAATCTCTCGTTGGCCCGAGTGAAAAATGACTCTTGGAATATCTTCTCTTTACGATAAACTGAATCTCTCGTTGGCGTAAACAGTGACTCTTGGAATATAAGTAGAAAAATATGACTTACAATATTTTGCTGCTTTAGCTTCTGTCAGATACACTAACTCCACAAAAACTCACTAACATTCAACACTACTGCTTGCCACCTCTCGGGAACCGCCAGAGAACAATCACTGTTCGTCTTACAGACTTGGAAAACCAACTGCCTATCTTTTTTGTTTCAAAAACTAACTAAAGTCTCATTCTCCAACCAATTATCCCACCTTTTTCAATTTCATCCAATCAAAACGCGTCATCCATCCCCATTTTTTCATTTCGATAACAAACAAATTTTTACCTATAATTATAAAATTTCCTAAAACTTATTTACAAATAATATTTTTCTACGATTCTTAAAAACTAACAAAAACCTATCTTTCTAAAATCTATTCTATTGTCCTTAATCACTGCATTAATGTATTTGGAAAACCCGGTTCAATTGTCTTTGAATTTCACTTGAAATTATGCGGGTCACTCAAGTATATTATAACAAAGAAAATAATTTATGCATAGCTTACATTTTGTTTAATACAGGTAATCCAAAAATTTAAAGACTTTCCTTCTTCGAAATGTTTGTTGGTTATTATCCTACTTATCTGAATTATTTTAATGTTTTTGAACTTTGAAATATTTTAAACAAACCAATATTTTTCTCGATTTTACATATCATAACAATATATATATATATATATATATATATATATATATATATATATATATATATATATATTATATATATATATATATATATATATATATATATATATATATATATATATATATATATATATATATATATATATATATTATATAAACTATAACTGTACGGTCAATCCGAGTTATAATATCCGGAAAAAAAGCAAAGCTATACAGAAATATTTAAAAACCAATTTTGTTCTATGTACGTTACAAATATAAATACGAGCGGGTTTCTGTAGAACAGTGAAATTTATTTGTAGTGCGTACTGATTATTTCACAATTTAGCTTTACATAAATTTAGTAACTAAAACATAAAACGCTTCATTATATTTACTCGAAATTAAGTCAACTACAGTTACAGTCCCCGATAAACAACGACAATAAGAATTTGCATCGTTAGGCGTCTGTTTTTGTCTAACTAAGTTGCGATGGGTAAGTTAAAACGGGAGAAAACTTTAACATAAAGTTTATTTCCCTTTAAAATCAAGACACATTTCGTCGATGATAATTTTTGACTTAATTTAAAAAGTTGGATTGAAAGAAGAGACTTTGAGATAATTTATAAAAAAAATTGTAGAAGCTGTTTTTATTTATCTACTTAGGTTCTGTTAATGTAATAACTTTTAAAAATTACTTAATTAGAACTGTACTTTATTAACAAATCAAAAAGAAGAATATTTTTTGCCTACAATAATCCAAGTAACGTGCAGCTATACCCCAGTCATCAATTTTTCTAAATAAATGCCAATTTTTCACTATTTCTTTTCAGCTATATGCCAAATATAATATATTCTTAATGTAACATAAAAAATATCTATTATTTGCTATTCTTTTTAACCAATTATAGTAAGTTTTATTGCTAGGGGTACAGTTGCACTTTGCTCGATTGTTAACGTGAGGTATATTATTTGCTTATATCAAAGACTAACTGAGGTGCAAACATACCTCAGTTAAATATGATAACGTGTATTCCCCGAATACCTGGCCAGTGGGTTCTGAAAATTCGCAATTTATGTACATGTCATGACAAAATTTCTGCAGCAACTGTGTGTTAGATTTGGTCGATTTGCATGTGCCTTGGTTATATCATTAGTTTATATAAATAAAATGAGCAAACCATCTAAATTTCGAAATGAAAAATGATTACTGAGGCAGGGATATGAGAAGAGTTATTGGCATTACTCTAAAGAGATGACTGTGATAGAGATTTGAATGTTTTGATATTATAGCGCGGCGCTAGTGATATAGAAGACACCTAGATAGGACCCTTAAGCTAGTGGGGATAAATGGCCCTTAAGGGGAGCGATTTTGCTGGCTTACTGTTAAAACTAGTAGAACTGAAAAAAAATTATGATATACCACAGTGCTGTGCTAGGTTTTTATGAATTGATTACCACACTATTACTTATTCAATTATCAAATACTCCTTATGAGAAGTCAATAATTTTGTTGGGTTAATATTTAAAATCTTTTTTTTTTTAAATTTTACTCTTCTTGTACCTGAAAGTATAAATTGCTTGCCAGGTTTTCACTGAATTTTCTCCTACCTCATAATTTTTGACCCCCTAAGCCACAGTTAATGGGAAACATTCAACAAGCTACGCATTCACGCTAGCTAAATACGAAATGTTTTTAGAAATACAAAAGTGCTCTGCTAGATTTTTACTATATTTTTACCAGCCTTGTCTTTTTTTTTTCTCAACTGCCCTCATTGAAGACATTCTGAAATGTGCTCTGTGCTAACGAATATTTATTTTTTAAATATTTAAATATTGAAAATATGAAAATATCTTATTCCAAAAATTATAAATTTTAACTATTTTAAAAAGTTTAGTCTGATTCAGGTCGTGAGTACATGGCTAAGCGAAGTCGAATCTTGAGTCCCTTTTAAGGCTTATCCTCGAAAATTGTAACGGTAAAATTCAGAGAGATATCTATTTCAAAAATATCTTTCTTTACGAAAACAAAATCCATTCACGAAGAATATTCTAAACGTCATCTTGTACTAGATATTAGCTTTATACCTACCTTATACAACCCCCTATTGTGTAAAGTCTTCGGTCTATACAATAAACGAGCGGGCGGCCTTCTATTCAGGTTTTGAAATAATGTTGAATAAAAACATTCATGAAATTAAAATGAAAGGATGTGTGGAAAGTGCGATTTATAAAATTAGTACTTGAAGCCCAAATCGCGGGAGGAATATGTGCATCAGTTTTCAAATATTTATTATTTACTATATAATTTCTAAATTGAACCACTTTCACTTTTTTAGGTAACAATGTATCTGTTTTGACAACTAAATAAGTAATTAGACAAAATAATGAGTATTAATAATTTCAAAACAGTAGTTTAAAGAATTAGAAGGAGGTAGCCCGGGCCCAGTTAAATGGTCAAGCTTATTCCAGTGGAAGCAATAAGGAGAATTATTTTTCGTTTTGGCACAGCTGACATGCTCTCTTTAGCACTACAACCCATGAAGTTGTGGTAAAAAGCATGCTCTATTTATACGGTTGTGAAACACGACGATTAACAGAGACATCGAAGAAAGATATCTCGTCGAACTTAATGCAATAAAGTAGGAGAATAGAAGGTACCGTCATGTATGGCATACAACGAAAGCAGCTCAATTGGGTACAGGTCCAATAAATGAAAGACAGTAGACTCCTAAAACAAGTACCTGTATGAACACCTACCGGAATTCAGAAGAGAGGTTTATCTTAGAAAACACGGATGGAAGGAATTATAAACTTAATGGGCTCGAAAGAACTTAAAGAACAATGAAACAACCGAATTGAATGAAAAATGGACGTCGAAAGACATTTTATAGGGATTATATCATATTATAGGTACATTTTTTGGACTAAAAATAAATTTGAAGAAAACCCAGGTCATGGTATTTACAAAAGCACAAAGCATCAAAGTTAAGCTAGTACTAGATAATACAGAAATTGAACAAATATCTTTGTACAAATACCTTGGAGCATGGATCACGGAAGATGCTGATTAGACAAAAGAAATAAGATACCGCATTGGAATTGCACGGTCAACTTTTAATAGAATGAGAAAACTTTTTTGGAATCGCGATATCAATATATCGCTCCGGATAAGAATGCTTTGATGTTATATTTTCTTTACCCTTTTATATGGGATTGAAGCTTGGTCACTTAAAAAATCAAACATTAAAAACCTAGAATCATTCGAAATGTGCTGTTACCGACGTATTTTGAAAATATCATGGATGGATCGCAAAACAAACAAACAAGTTCTCGAACAACTAGGAAAACAATGCGAAGTTTTAAATTCCATAAAAATCAAAAAATTGGAATACTTGGGGCACATCATGATAAGTGAAAAATACGAACTACTACAGAATATATGTACGGTAAAGTCAAAGGCAGAAGAAGCGTAGGAGGACGTAAAATCTCGTAGTTACGCAATCTCCGTGAATGGTTTGGATACAAAATTATAATTGCCAGAATGTTTTCCAATCTCCGATAGGAGTGGAACTTGAAGAAGAAGAATAAGTACATTATTATTATATCATATTATATATATTTATATAATATATGATATACACAATATTGAAAGAGGTTACAACATAGACAATCAACAAAATCTACATCGACAACTATACAGTGAACACCCAACAATAATAGAAGTGTCAAATACCGTCCTAAAACTCAAAGACAATAAAGCCACAGGAATCGATTAAATATGTTGGGAAATATAAAAAAAAGGGGTGATGATCAACTTTTTGCAGTAACCCATAAACTAATAGTACTTATATGGCAAAACGAATTGGTACCAGAAGAGTGGCTAAATGAAATTAATAATATACGTTGCATAAAAAGGACGATTAACTGGATTGTAAGAACTATAGAGGCATTACTCTGTTAGCATCTGCGTATTAAATCTTCGGCAATATATTGTTTGAAAGACTTAAACATTTTACAAAGGATATTGTTGGTCAATATTAATGCGGATTTACTGCTGCAAAATCAACTATACCTCAAATTCAAGCACATGGGTAGATTCTAGAAAAGTCACTAGAATACAAAATAGATACACACTATCTCTTTGTCGAGTTCAAAGCAGCCTATGACAGTGTTAAAAGAACTAATGTTAAAAATACAGATCCCATTATTTAAAATGGCGTCAATGAGGATCCTTAATTTTTATAATCAAATTAGCTGTGAATTAACAAAAAAACATGGCTAACTTTGGCCCAAATTAACCTAGTCCAAATTTTTTTATTTAAAAATTCAGGTGAAAATACTAGCTTTTCAAATGTAAAAAAAGATTTTTTCCAAGGACAATGTTTTTAAAGTTATTTTAAATGTTTATAAACTACATAATTTCAAAAATTTGGCATCAGGATTTTTGACTATAATAAATTATTTTGTTATCTTTTTTAATACATATTGATAGTATAAGTCTATTGCTTTCATTTGTTACCCACATCATATCCTATCTTTATTATTTTCTGTCTTATGTTATTGTAAAAAAAGGTCTCTGGGATAAACAAATACAATAACTTTTTAACTAATTAATATATTGGTCCTAAATTTTAACGGTTTGTTAAGTACCCCAATACCCAACCTTGGGTGGAACGCTAATGTTTAAAGTTTAAGTTTATTAAAAGTTTTTAACAAATATCAATTGTCACTTATTTTGCAGTTTGCAAAACAACAAATTGATTTTTCAACTTTTTTATTTATATAAAATTTCCTCAATCGGAACATAAACGGCTTCGTGAACTACCCATTTTAAAAACAATTAACACACTGGTTTGTCAAAGGTCGAAATAAACCCTAATAATGTTATTCAACATTATTTATGACCCACCTTCGAGAGAGTATTATACTTCTTACCTAACCAACCTAACCGTCGGCGAGAGTCCAGAAACCATCGACAAGGACAGCCTGTACTGGCCGAGAAAGTTACATTTAACAAAATTTGAGATTTTTAAAAAAGTTTATACCAAATAGTTGCTTTGTGTTACACTTTATGTTAAAAATAAAAACAGATTCGGAAAGTGGGTCAAATTCTGTAGTGCCCTATTTCAAAAAAAAAATTTTTACGTTTATTTTAACCAAAAATATTTGAAAAAAAAAATATTGTTTAAACAATATATTAATTTACAACCAAATAGTGCACTAGAACTTTTTAAGACCTTCCATATAAAAAAAGAATCATCTCAATATCTGCCATAGTTTTTGCGTTATTTGATATAAACTTTTACATTGGAACTTAGCTATGCCCCGAAACGCAAGGAACGGCCTTAAGAAATATAAAATAACTAAAATCAAGTCTAAATCAAAGTCGAGTTTTAGTAAATACAAAATTTTTATATTTCACAGAATAATTACCAGGTAAGAAATATTCAAATTAAAATAATTTTATTATGACTATTACATTAATTACCTAATTGTAAGGGAGGATCGGGACACCTAGCGCACCTATTGTTAAAAGATTAAAAGATTAGTATTTATTGGGTACATCCATAGACCTGAGCTAAGTGTACTGCCAATCAAAGAGTGGAGGCTGCAGTCTTAATCGGATTTTAGATTGATAGCGCACTCTTCACTATTGTTTAACTTTGGTAATTAATTTCAAATATAGCGGCTCTATAATCTTTCTGAGTGTGTTTTATGCTGAGTACAACAGTTTTTTAATAGTAAACACCAGTGCACATTCATCTACGCACGATCATGTCTATAGTTGATTTTTAACTCTTAAAATGTGAAAACGTGCATTTTTTTATATCGGACGAAAAAGTACGACTTTATGCCAACAAAATTAGAGCGTAAAGTACGGAATTTATATTTTTCATTTTTTTAAGAAGTTCAATTTAATACTGTTTTTTGTTTAATGAAGTGGTTTGTTAAGTTTTTAGGTTTAATTAAAGAAGAATAATTAGTTTTGTCTTAAAAATAAGTCATTAAAGTATTTAAATTAATAAAACTTGTAGTTTCCAATAAATTTCCAGTCGATGAAATTTATTTTACTGTATAGTA